AGAATGACCTAGTGGCAAACATACGGTTCTTGTGCCTTCCTGCTTCTGATAATAGGTATTGACAGACTCTGGATCACAACAGTTGAATGCAGCAGGGATAATTTTCCTCTATGTGTAGCACAGCTATGCCTAAGGACATATATCTTATCTACCATTTATCTTTTTTTTTTTTTTAAATACCACATAAATATAACGCTGTGACTTTCTGGGACAATAAAGTTTCTCTGACTATGACAGATTTGAAGCAGATGCCACTAGTTAGAAACATTTCTAAATTATGTGACTTGGGTTCCTTGACCAGGTTGAAAAACTGTTTTTCCTCTCAGTTCCCTGTTTAAACAAGGTGAAATTAGTCTAACCTATGTGAACGAAAAGTCAAACCATTGATATAACATGCTCTTTTTATTGTTATTTTGAGCTAATTTAATAAACCCTGAGGTGGTATTGTGTTACTAGTAATTACTAGCATTTACAGATTATTTTCTCAGTCATGCACTGCCTTAAGCTTTTAAGAAGTTTACTTATCATTTACTCCTTACAATAACCCTCTGAGATTGTTACTGTTATTTATCACCACTGGTGAAGAAGCTCAGTTTCAGTTGAAGAAATTTCAGCACAGAGAGGTTAAATAACTTGCCAACCATTGCACAGCCTAGAGTGGTGGAGCTGTAATTCAGACCCTGAGAGATCAGCTCCTAAACATGCACACTTAGTTGCTATGCCACTCGGCTTTATCAATGACCATCACATTTATTTAACTGGCCTTTTAATTCAGATGAACAATTTTTTCTCGGTTGCAAAGAAATAATTTGACAAACCTGGATAGCATTGCTTGGGATGCAAGTCTGAGGCCACATCTGAGAAGCCTAAATAAACTATGTGACTCCTACAAGCACTGGGTATTTATTCTGAGGCTTATTACATGAGTTTGCATTAAAAAAATAACAGGTCCTGTTATGAATAAGTATAAGAATGGCATTCTACAGGGGATATAGCCAACAAATGTAAAATTCCTTTAGTGGCATTGAAAAAGTGAGAAGGTATTTCCCACAACACTAGGTGGTGGTTGAACAATGAAATTTGTTCACAAACCTTAACCTGAAAGTACTGTCAATATGCTGCTATCATTCTACTCAAAGTCCCTTGTTATCTCCTTCAACAAATAAGAATGGTGAGATACAGTCTCAGGTGGTATAGTATGAATAAATTATTTGAAGTTTGTGCTAAACCTGTACCTTAATGAGTGTCTTCAATTTGGGGGAGATATAGATTCATGATTTCCATTCTTTATGCATATTATCACCATATAAACTAATTCCAGGAGAAAAAGCTATGGTTATATAGAGCTTATCATAGAGTGATACACTCACTCAGGGGTATTTTATAAACGCGAGTCACTGGTAAATTGAGGGCAACCATTAACCAATAAATTATCCTAAAACTAATTCTTCTGAGAGGTCCTTTATTCCAATGGTGTTCATTGCCTTCCTTCTCTTTTTCCTTTGAAATTAAGAACTAAGCCTTATTATAAGGTTCACCTTTTAATTCTCCTGCCATATAACTGGGCCCTCTCCCTACCAGACGCCACCAGATACCAAAAACAAGTTCAAGTACTTTGGGGTCATGGACTCAAGTTATTTCTATAGAGTTAAACTCCTGTCCAAAAAGGACTGATTCTATGATAAATATATGAGGAAACAAATTGGAAAAATGATTGGAATCAATTGCGTATGTGAGAGACCAGCAGATACGTGTGTCTGAGTAGATCTCTTAAAGAGTAATAATGTTCTTTTGCAACTATCTTTTCCCATTCCGTTGGTTGCCTATTAATTTTCTGGGTTGTTTCCTTGGCTGTGCAGAAGCTTTTAATCTTGATGAGGTCCCAACAGTTTATTTTTGCTCTTGATTCCCTTGCTTTTGGGGATGTGTCAAGTAAGAAGTTGCTGCGGTGGAGGT